AGCGGGAGAGGAGAAGAAGAAGAAGAAGAAGAAGAAGAAGAAGAAGAAGAAGAAGAAGAAAGAAAGAATAGGAAGAAGAAATAAATAAATAAAATTTGTTGCTTACCTGGCGATGGCGGCAATCAAGGATCAAGGCGGCAATGAGGAGCACGGCGCTGATGACGTGGCACGGCGGCGACGGTCTCGACGACGACGATGTCGTGGCACAGCGGCGACGGAGGTCTTCATGACGGCGGTGATGACGTGGCACGGCACTGAAGGTCACGGCGACGAAGGGGGAGCGAATCGCTCCGATACCAGTGTAACGAGCGTGAGGCTGAGGGTGAGCGGAGGGAGAGGATGGCGCCAGTTGTCCAAAATCCTACGGTACCAAAGGAGGGGTTTGGAAAAAGGGTGCCAGGCCGAAAACGGGATGCAGCCGAAACAGCAAAAGATAGACCAGGGATCGAGCCCTGGCGAAGTCCGTAACATTTAAACTAAAATTACTAAAATGATAGTAAACTTAAGTAAAGTCATTAAATTAATAAATCAGAATTATTATCCAATTCTGCTTCCGGACTGGTCAATCCTGCCTTTGAATTTATTATTATTATTATTATTTTATTTATTAGGCTACCAGAGTGGCCCGGGGTCACTTGGTCGGTCAGTCCAAAAAAAAATTAAAAACTAAAAATAAATAATTTATTTTAAAATGTTATTTTATATTTTAAAAATTGTAAGGAATTTCGATGTGACCCTGAGGCAAAAGTTGTTCAGTCTATTTCTCTGCATAACATAGTTTTTTTTTTCGGATTTTTTGGATTTTTTTTTTTTTTTTGCTGGGACCTTCCCTTGTCCTTGCACGGGCTGGCCACCCGGGACTCCGGCGGCCCGTCTGGTAGCCTAGTTTATTTATTTATTTATTTTAGTTATTTCTCAAAGCTATTGCTATTTTTTGGATGACATAAGGAATGGCCATGGAATTCAAACTGAAACCAACACTACCTTATCCCATGCGGGCCACCGTCAGGAGGCCGAAACGAAACGACGGGCCACCGATGAGATTTATCAACGGCGGCCGTGGTCGGGCCCGACCTCCAATTTTTTAGTAGTTTCCCGTTTACCCAACAGCGGGAAAGGTTGTGGTGCCTTAAGACAAGTTAAGAGCGAGTTTTTAATTTGGAAATAATGGGTGGCACATGTAATCTAGGCAGCATGGTAAATCCGGCCAGGTCATCGAGGTCCTGGTTGATCAGGATTTCTGGATGAACTAGCAGGAAATGCCATATGGAGGCTCTGGAGTCGACCTCCAACAGGGTAGTGGTTTTGCACAGGCTTGTACCAACGCAGCGAACGCAGAAAAATGGGCCTGTTTTGCCCATTTGTCCCATCCCTGCCCCGTTCCTCCCTGCCTCCCTCCCTCCCTACCTACTACCATGTTTGCTTCTTTCTTTCTCTCTTGCGCTCCCCCTCTCTCCCTACTCTTGCTCTCCCTCTCACTTCTGTGCGTCCACGCAGGAGCTCGCACCCCTCCCTCTACCATCTTTCCTTCTCTCGCTCTGTCTCTCACCTCTGTGCATGCTTGCAGTAGCTGCCTTCTCTCTCACAGGATCTCGCCTCCCTCCCTCTTCCATCTCTCTCTCTCTCTCTCTGCGACATCTCTCTCTCTCCTTCTCCTTCTCTGTGCGTGCATGAGCACGCCTCCTGCCGTTTCCCGCTCTCTCCCTCACTCCCTTTCCCTCTCTTTCTCTCTCTGTTCCTCTGACGTGCTCGCTTTGGAGTTTGAACGCATGATTTTGAGCACGTGCTTTAAAGTTTGAACGTGCTATTTTAAATGCATGATTTGGACACGCGCTGCTCAAAGCTCTAATGCACGTGGGGACAACTGGAACTGGAGGATGACAGAAGGGGGAGGAGAAACGAGGACAAAAGGAAGAAGCAGAAAAAGAAGATAGGAGGGGGATGAAAAAAGTTGGGCAGAAGGAAGAAGATGAAGACGGCCACGAAGAAAAAGAATACAAAAAAGAACACAGGAGGAGGAGGAGGAATGGGAGGGAGACGGTTTACATTGGAGAGACAGGAGGAGGGCAATGGTCGACGTGGCGCTGGCTAGCTGACGGTGCGAGCTGCAAGCGTGCGACTGCTCAACGTTCAAAAGGACTTGCCGCACGTGGGAAAGGCCATTCAAATTGGCCCACACCCCGGCACTGGCAGGAGCAACGCAATAGAAAAAAGCCCAATCTGGGCCGTCGATCTCCGCTGATCGACGACCCGGATTGGACTTTTCATTTTTTCAAAACCTGTAGCCCTTCTACCCTTTTTGGTTAATCTGGGTTCTTGGGGGCCTCCAGGACCCTCTCATGCGCCCGACTGCCTCTCCGGGCCCTGCGCCTATTTTGCACAGGGCTTGGATGACCGCGATGGTTCTGGACCTGCCGTGTATCCAGCTGTCCCACCTACCTTCTTCCCCCGAATACAACGTACGGTCATTATAGCTGTATCTAGACTGAAAGATGCCTCAAATACAGCTATAATGACTGTACGTTGTATTCGGGGGAAGAAGGTAGCATTCTGTGTAATTTTTTATTTGGAAGTAAGGAGAGGCAAACTCCAATTTTGTCTCCTGCCCATGAACTTTGATGAAGTTTCCTTTTTGAGCTGTCTATCTTTATTATTAGTATTTTTTGGTTGAAACTTGAAAGCTATCATTGCTCCTTATGTATGTCATTTTTAATTTCAAAAGAATCAAAACAGAGAGTGAAAAAAAGTTCTACTTTGTGGTACGCAACTTGTCTTACGCAACAAGATTCAGACCTTTTTGCACTTCAATTATTGATTGGAAATAAAATATATGGATATTATGGAATCATGTTGTTTTATCAGCTGCTAAGATCCTAATGTTGCAACTGTCCTGCTTGCCTCTCTCTCTCTCTCTCTCTCTCTCTCTCTCTCTCTCTCTCTCTCTCTCTCTCTCTCTCTCTCTCTCTCTC